CTACATTCCCCAGGATCATAATTGTAACTACTCTCAGAAAGAAAACTTTTCACACCCGTTAGTACCAACCCAACACATAGAAACGACTCCCACGTACAATAATAGTCGCAACTCCTTCCAGTTACGCGCAGCAGACCCTTCTTACGCTAGCGTAAATAGTTATAACAGAGGCTACGCGCCTAACCACGAAGACTATTTTGCAAACAATTATACACTTCACAGTAGGCCAGTACAAGATTTTTTTGGAATACGACCTCTAGTGACACCTCTGTTGAAGAATATAGCTCAAGTTATTTCAAACCACATGCAAAATATAAACGCGTTTCCCCCGTACAGTTTCCATCAGAGAGTACTCCCGCTCTTTCCTCCTGGGTAAACTCCCCAATCAACTTCACTAGCTCATTTGATACATCCCCCACTAAGTTTAGCTATCAAAATACCGAGCTATTGAAGAACGTCCAATCCCTCATTTTAAACCCATATCACATCCGCGAGGGTTACAACGATTTTATTCGAGATACTCTCACTCATTTCAACCTAGTAGACCATTTGTTTAATATATGTCTCATCAACGCTAGGTCGATCTGCAATAAAAAGACGGATTTAGCCATGTTTGTATCCATATATCAACCATCACTTATTATGATATCTGAGGCATGGACTAACAGTAATATTTCCGACCTAAGTATATCTCTTGACAACTATTTCCTATATAGAAGTGATAGATTGAAGGGACGAGGCGGAGGATGCCTGATTTACGCTCACTCTAGCCTAAACTCACTACTATGTGATATGCCTGAACTAAACAAACTGGATTGTATTAAAGCAGTCGCATTCCGTTACCTTACTGTTCGGCTGTGTTTACCGTCAACCTAACGCATCAATAGATGACATAGCAATACTGTCGGAGGTATTCACACTAGCATCATCCCTTCCATTCATAGGCAAGCTTATTAGTGGTGACTTCAACATGCCCAAAATTTCGTGGTTCCCAGTCAAGGCGCCGAAACGTTATGAATCATTTATAGAATTCTAGAGCTCGGACAATGGACTCAGTATCTCAATACCCCTACCAGACATCAAAATATCTTGGACTTAGTCTTTACCAGTGGCCTCATCCCCAATACTGTGTATATTGGAAAAACGTTTCCACGTAGTGATCATAACATTGTCATATGCAGCCTTAATATAAAAACCACAACCGGTAGACGTAAAACCGCAACACTTCGTAGAAACTATCGCAAGGTTGGTTGGAATAACTTCCACAATCACCTAAGAAGCACTGATTGGGGAACCTTCTTTACTGAAAACAATACCGACACACTAACCAATATATTTTATCTAAACCTCAGAAGTATCATCAACAAAATCTCACCTTTAGAATACTGTAGACCTACGGTCTCCAAAAATCTTTATATACCGGTCGGTACACGAAGACGTCTTCAAAGACATTGTACTCAATTCCACAACTTTATTGACTTTTCCTCTTTAGTGACGATGACTGAAATAATTATCCGAACAGAGGCAATAAGTACACAAAAAGCAGTCGCACAGAAAGAACGTGCAGTCGAATTTAAAAATAACTCCACTGCGCTCACCATACTTCTTCAAAATAAACGTTCCAAATCGAGAGGGAGCATATTCATTACAGACAAGCAAGTATACGAAGACCCTAAACTTGTTGCGGAACTATTTAGTGAACACTTTTGTTGCTCACTGACTAACGAAAAACCACCAAACGATTCAGAACCAATCCCAGTACCTCCTTATGAAATTGCCCCCAAATGCCCTGGTACGGTCGAGAGTGGGGAGAGTCCGCTCTCCCTCTCGAAATGCTCTCACACGGCCACGCGTATATAGCCTCTGCCAGGGAATTCCTACTCACTGCCTTCTCGTGGCGGGGGTGTTGTTTACAAAAATGAGAGGACGAAAATCGAATGTCCGGCGCTTTAACCGGATCTCAAACCAATGGTGCACATGGGCTCCAGTATGCTGAAGGAACAAATGGCGTATGAACCGATTTCTTGGTCACTGGCTTCCATGGGACTGCATCTCCTTACGATGCTCCACTGCCTTGTGGGTCAGACGTTCAGGTCGAAGGCTCGGGGTGTGGCCCCCTAAGAAAACTACCTGCTTCGGTTTGGGCACTCGAGCAGTATCACAGCCCTCACACAAATCAATTGAGATTTGTGTGGCGAATGTGTATTTGTTGCCTCCTTGTACAAATGCCTATGTGTTAAAAGTAAAATAAATAAAAATTATGAAATTACTAATGTAAACTTTAATGTACAAAATATCTCTAAAGCAATCAGTACATTGAAACACTCATACACTGATGGGCCAGATGGTATTCCAGCTAGCATTCTAAAACGTGGAGGTGATGATATGTGTGTTTTGCTTCTCAAACTATTTGCGATATCACTCTCCACAGGGTGTTACCCTACTGCCTGGAAAACTACACATATCATTCCCAAAATTAAAACAGGACCTGAAGCAAATGTTGACAATTACAGACCCATAAACATAACTTCAGTGGTATCTAGAGTGATGGAAAAAGTAGTTAAGGCGGCTGTAGTCCAACATCTACTTACTAATAGTCTCACCTCGACCTCCCAGCATGGATTTCTTAGGTCAAGATCATGCGATACATGCCTAGTAGACTACCTGAATGATATAACTCTGAAAAGTGACAACGGACTCCTTGTATCAGTCCTATTCTTAGACTTTAAAGAAGCCTTTGATAAGGTCGTCAAACTGAAGTCTTTCGGAATAAACGACCCACTGTACTCATGGTTTGCTTCGTTCTTAACCGAACGTAAACAGACTGTAAAGTACAATGATTGTCTCTCATCACATAAACCAATAACTAGTGCAGTCATCCAGGGAAGCGTATTAGGCCCACTCTTGTTTCTTATGTATATAAACGATATATGTAACACCATAACATTTGGGAAACCATACTTATATGCTGATGATCTCAAGATAGTATACAGTTATAAGCCTGAGACCCTAAACGAAAGTGTACCCCTGATCCAAAATGACCTCAATAACTGGTTAAATATACATTTTTCTTCCTAAGTGTCATGTCTTTTTTTTATATTGCAAGTAGACAGATAACTCAGTAATCTTATGGATGCTGATCTGCTAAGGCCGATTATACGAAGCTCAAAATTGATCATAAAATCTTGTGAGTTGCTCTGTGTTTTATTTTTCTTACCCTAAAAATTCTACAATTTTATACTCTTTCATATCATTTGATTTGCTATTAGTCCTACTATCTTTAAACCACATATAATCTAACCTGCTTTTTCTATCTTTCACCATTAGTTATTTTCATAGCAGTGTGATATACTAAATGGACATCTAACCCATAATACGAACGCTTTAACTATCAGATTTGCTTGTAACATGGAACTAGTAGAGACAGTGTATTCCAACCATGTGCTTTGATTAAAGCAGTATGCATACTTACCATAAACGTAAGAGAGCCTAACATCACAAGAGGGAGGGTGGCGTTACTGACCAGCAAACATGATGGCGGGGAGATAACTTTAATCCACCCATGTCTGTAGGGCAGAACATTTTGTTAAATTACGGCTGCTTATGGTCTAGTGGAATCCCAATCAACCAATAAAGGGGAAATAAAGGCGAAAAAAGGGGAAATAAAGGGGAAAATGCTTTGGTAAAGAAAGGGGAAATTTAGGGGAAAACGCGCCAAAATGTCGCCTTTTTCGCCTGTCTGGGGGAAATAACGCGGATTTCCTCCTTTTTGTCGCCTTGTCGCTAAATTGTCTACTTTTCGCCTAAATATCCGCAGAATTGTCTACTTTTCGCCTAAATATCCTCAGAATTGTCTACTTTTCGCCGAAATTTCCGCCGAATTGTCTACTTTTCGCCTAAATATCCGCCGAATCGTCTACTTTTCGCCTAAATATCCGCAGAATTGTCTTCTTTTCGCCTAAATATCCGCAGAATTGTCTTCTTTTCGCCTAAATTTCCGCCGAATTGTCTACTTTTTGCCTAAATTTCCGCCGAATTGTCTACTTTTCGCCTAAATATCCGCCTAATTGTCTACTTTACGCCTCAAAATAAATGCACACAAAATTGCGCGTTTTTTATCCAACCTTAAAATCGCCATTGGCACTACCCAAAAGTTCCCCAAAATTCGCCTTTACTTCTACAACAAACCACAGCGAAAGTGCAATGGATGGGAAAAGCGCTATATATGTTTATATATTTTTATTTCAAAGGAAAAGCGTTTTCTTGTACAACATAATAGCGGAAGCTTGAGCATCAGTCGTTTAGCATTTCATTTGTAATTCCAAATTCGTCGTGCTTTGAGATCTGCAACAGAAGAAACATGTGATGTCTTATTTATAACACATGTGCATTTAATCGAAAGTTCACTGACAATGAGTAAGAATTCAAGATCTCTAAAGAAAAAATGTTTATTAAAAATTAGGTACAACATCAAACAAAGTTACACCGACTACATTCTTCAGCAACGTTTGTTCGGCTATTGACAGTGAAAACAGTCGTCCTGTGAATTCTGAATAGTAAAAAAATGAAAAGTCAAAACTAATTCTGAAAAACATGGCCGAAGACACAGAAAAGTACTTTAAGCTAAACTTACGGTTATGTTCGTTAAGACTGTTGACTGCAACTATAAAGAAGTAGGGAAATTATCACTTTAAATTGGTACATACCTGCTCTTGCTTCCGTCGATTACGCTTCATCAACTTGTCTCTGACGTCATGGAAATAACCTTGTGTCGCGATGTCGTAAAGCTTCGCAAGGTCTTTTTCATTAACGGAGGATGACAAGAAGCGATTTGTCAATGCACCTGAAGTTTAATTTATAAGTATAGGTTACTTCGTATGCAGCCATAAAACCGACATTTCTAAAGTGCGCGCTTTGAAGTGCCCAGCAATGTGAAATTACTGGCCACCTCAGGTGTCATGATGTACGACAAAACGTAACGCATTGACATTTTAGGGTCATCACCCATTAACCTCGTCAGCATCGCCATCTGTTATACAAAGATGTCAGTAAATTAATGTTGCTGACTTACAAATCTGTCCCTCGTTTCCTTCTGCTGCAACCCAGTGTCCAGCATCTGCAGTTCCTCTTCCGATGACAAAGGAAACAGCTGACTTGATACTCCGCAATCGAATTGATGCGGATGATCATGTTCACTAAACTTCGCTAGTAGTACCTTGACATTTGTACTCAAGTCAGTAATTGCTGAAGACATGTTTTGCTAATGAACTGTGGCTTGACACTTGTACACGTCCGCAGAATGCTTCTGATGCTCCTTGGTAAGTCCGGAACAAGGTTTCTTAATTCATTCAGAATTCTATCAGAATCACTGATGCTGAGAGAGGTGTTCGTAATTAATGACATCAAGAAGTTGTTGATTTGGTCTTTGCGATTAAGGGACTTTTGAGAGCATAAAGTAACGTCAGTAGATCCTATAAAAAATGTATTCGCGTATTAACTTTATATACATACCATTATTATCTGGAGCCCTTGGATAACTGCAGCTAGTGGATGGTGTCATATTTGGAGTCTCATTACTAGTAATTTTTCTGTTCACTGCTGTCAATTAAACGTACACTACATAGAAAGTCACTTACCTGTGATTGTGCTTTCACTAGCCGACTCACTAAATGAAAGCAAGTTATGTTTTTTCATGAAAGCTATTCGTATTTTATTCCATCGTCTGTTATAAGTCGATCTATGACAACCAAGAACGCTTGACAGGTTAATAGTTGCCCTTCGTCTACGAGCTCTATCGGTGACTTCAATGGAACTAATGTTATTGGACTAACAAGGTAGTAAATTGTAATGAACATGAAAAACGGAGAGCACGTCACTCACTTGCATCACGTTAGTTATTTGTGTTGGATACCAAGCATGTCCGAACACTTTAGCTAAACAAAGATTAAAGTCAGTGAATATGAGTGTCGGCCTAATCACTGCGTTCGTATTTTGTTAATTGTTTTCATGACAATAGTGATGTTTCTTTCATAATCTCTTAGTTATTTTTTTTAAGTTTATGAAAACATAACAACTGGAGGCGGCATATTCAAGAACTATACGTAACGTATTTTTGTCTACAAATATCCCCTAAATACACGCTGTAAAGGCGAAAAAGCGACATTTCCCCTTTATTTACGCTTTCGTCCCCTTTATTTCCCCTTTTTTCCCCTTTATTTCCCTTTTATTGTTTGATTGGGATGTCACGAACTAGTGGTATTGATGATGATTTATCATGCAAAATACCTCATTAAATCGTGTTTAGAATGTTGAATTGACTTAGCTTCCTACCCGATAATCCTATTACAAGTAAACTAGACAATCCGATAAAATAAAAACAAAAAAACGAAGCCTACTCAAGACCCTATAAAATCTAAAAAAGGCTCCAATAGCGTCGACAAAAAAGGGAGACAGCCATTTGTGTATCGTAACACTGCTTTCAGCACTATATTTTATAACTACATATTCTCATACTCTCAGTTTCTTTATGAACCACCTCCATTTGTCAGTTGATTATCCACTCATACTTTGTCTACAGATATTTCCTTTAACCTATTAGGATGCTCCTGCTTACTAAATACTTTAATGAAAGAGAATCAGATTGAGTAATCACACCTTAATCATTTCTTCATGAACATTGTCTGCTCTGCTTCTCGTCCTTTTTTTTGTTTTCTTGCACCGTTTTTCAGCCCCCTTGAGATACAGAACGGGTGACCCCGTCCTGCACCATCCTTAAAGACTCAAACATTCCAAAGGGATATAAGTTTGCGATTTCTAGAAGCCATCAAGTGCACATGAATCTATTATCGACCGTCAGTTGCACGTCGCAACGCAACTCTCATGAAGCGCGCTAACTGTGATACTGAGTAAATTACTACAGTTGGAAATTGTATCATTTGTAACAATTTGATCTTGCCTGTAAACTGGCATGCCTCATGTAACAAAATGTTTTTCGAGAATAAATTATTATTAATATTATATTGCTAGCTTCTGGTGTGTAAACAGAGAAGATATCCACTTTTCAGATATTCTTATTAGATAAGCCATAATATCATTGCTGAGTTCACGTAGCTCATCCATTTTATTCGGTAAACTTGCGGCATTCATGTATAAGCACTTTATGCTTTCAACTTGAAACGCGTGAGCTTCTTTGTCCTGTTTGTCTGTATGAACCTAACGTGAATGAACAGGTAGCCTACCGACACAAGGTTTTCTGAGTTTATAACCCCTGTGCTTTACACGTTTTTTATGATCGAGACAGTTCACAAGTGAAATAGTTAGCTTCAACTTGCTTTTGTGCTTGATCCTGGCGTCATTTGGCATATCTGGATGCATATAGGTTCCAGTTGATAACCGACGTCTGTTGGCGCGAAGCTTTTCCAGAGTTGCAGACACCATATGGGAGGATAGGAAAGTTATTTTTATTAGTCGGGGACTAGAACCTCCATCCTTCGCTAGTTTCATCACTTGCTGAGTCAGTATGATTTTTAGCTTCAAGGATTGCTTGATGAATTTCTATTCCCTAATATCAGAGTTGATATGATCAGGGTCAATGCTTTCTGGTACACTATGCAAAATGATATTTCTCCCGCGGAAAATCTTCTCGCGAGATTCTTCAGGGATGTTCCGGATGATAATGCGCTCACAATACGGTTTGTCAGACAGTATTCTTACATTCCCATCTGATTTCAGTAAATGACTAGCTACTATGATATGAGTGAGTGTTACACCAAGTAGCCTCGGGTGATTTTGATGCTTAGAGTCATTTCTCCGAGTGAGCCGTGTGAGCTTCAAAGGCTCTATTCTTGGAAAATCAAGGTTCTTGTTTAACTCTTCACAGAGCATCCTGTCATTTTAGTCCTGCAAACTGAGAGGAAGGTCAGGGCTGTTTTTAAGGTTCATGATCATCACAGAATCGTCACGAACCTTTATTGTTTTGCCAGTCTTTCGGGTACGTTCAGGTTGAGGACCTCGTTGTTTGGAGGTCGAAGCGCGTTTCTGATTCCTAGGCTCTTTGATGACCGGATGGGCATGCTTAGGGGTAGACTGAGCAGTCAAATTCATCACTGCTTTGTGGTTAGGACATCTGTTAAACGTATTTGTTCCTTAGTCTTCAGTAATAAGGATGGTAGGTTGGTGAATCTGTGTTAATCCTGACAGATTGCGCTCCAGTGAAAGTTCAACTTCTCCTTGAAAATATTTACTGATGGGGCTGATACCACTTGTTCGAGGAAGACGTTCAAGTCATTGACTACTAGATGGAAAAAACGAGAGCCCACTTTAAGCTTATTAGATCGTGGCTTGTGAATCTTCTTGGTATGACCTCGGAGATTATTAGTGTTGGAGGGATCAAAAAGATGAGACATATTAACACTCAAATCATAATTAAAGATATGAAATGCCAGTATAAGGTCACATCGAGTCCTACGATATGACAAAGGGAAAAGGTTTAGGCGTTTTAAACGCTCATCGTAAGAGAGTTTAGAAAGGCTCCTCATTAATTTTGTTCCTACACGCTAAAAACTCTCAAGTGAGTTATTATCCTTTATCAGATATGGGCTAGCTGCTTGAGTATAGTACTATAAGTGTGGCCTTACATAGATGGGATATACAGTACGATGCACCTCCTCGTCAACGCATTTGAACGCTCGGTGAAGTGGCCCCAACGCACGAAAACCCTTGACAACAGCTGCGTTACAATGCGCAGTTGTTTCCAAGTCATGATTTATTATTGCTCCGAAGTCTTTATGTTCATGAACGCATGGACGGGATATACCATCAACAGTGTAATGGTAATTACTACTGTGTCCGATGAGCGTGAGCACACTCTTCCTAGAATTAGATTCGAAGCCGCAACCTCGAGCTCATCTAACTAATTCGTCCAAGTCAGCTTGGAGATCAGCCTCGTTTTTTATTGTTCTCCAGATTTCTACATCATCCGTAAACAATAATGTCGACGACTTAAGCAACAGTGGTGATCCACTAATGTAGAGAAGGAAAAGTATAGGGCCCAAGATAGTGCTTTAGATTACACCACATCTGACCAGCTCTCATTCGGATAGCTTTCCATTGACCCTCACATTCTATCTGCGATCACATAAGAAGTTTCCTATCCATTCCTGTACAGCACCTGTTATTCTGAAACTGGAGAGCTTCTACATAAGACCCAAGAGTGAAACCTTGTCAAAAGCTTTGCTAAAATCTATGAATATAACATCGATAGACAGACCGTTATCTAGTGCTGCTGTCCAATCCTGTATCGCAATAAGTTAGCCAAGCATGAACGCTTTTTATGAAACCCATGTTGCTAGGGAGTTAACAGATTGCGCGAGTCTATATGACTCAGTAACTTACCCTGAATTATCTTTTCAAGTAACTAAACGACCATACTAGTTAGACTAACAGACCGGTAGTTAGATACGATCTGTCTCTGATTATCCTTAAATATTTGTTATTCAATATATGATCGAAAATGTCTAGAATATCAGTAAAACTTCAAGGACTATGGGTGGGTTTTAATAAGTTATTTGATATACAATATTTGTACTTGTCGGTTGACTCACAATACCTATTACGGTAGACTGAGAACATTTAGATTAAAACATCGTGTGTATTTCAAGTTTGTACGCTACGTCCTATGGCAAATATTCCGCGTTTTGGGGTTTCTGCTAAGTATAGAGGAAAAGGTGAACTAAAAATTATAATCTTGATCCTTTATTTAGTTGATACTGAAGAGACTAACACGACTAAAAGCGGTTCACGTTATTTTTCTGGTTCATCAACAAATTCCCATACTAGTAGTTCTCGGGCTGAAGATGTTAGTCGATCAGACAGTGTTTACAGTTCGGTGAGATATCCATAATTGATCAGTTTGTTGTCTTTAACTTTTTGTCTGTATAACGAGAGAAAACCATATGATGTATACAAGTCAGCAGTATAAGTGTTGATCTGTCGTTTCGCTCTCTTAAGTGCTCGCGTAAAAAGCTAGTAACGACTAATTCATCGAACTCAGTCGGCTTCAGGAAATATTAGAATGACATTTAATAAATTCAAAGTTTTTTTTCAATATTAACTATCGAAACCCATTGAGGGCTGTAGCTTGGCATCCTACCCCCAAAATTAGTTTGCTGGTTCATGCATCTAAAGATCGAATGGATTTAGGTAGCAATTTATGGGTTTGCACTAGGCATTTGAATCAGGTTTACTGGACTCCGGTGGCTGCCGTAGTAATATGATTATCTTAAGAGCTAAAAACGTTTAATTGGATGAATTTTAGCCTTCATTTTGGCTGTTTTCACTCCCATTTTAGCGTTGCAGCTACTGAAGGGATAGTATTAGCCACAACGTTCAACTTGAGTGATGATTTTTTCGTGTAACTATCATGTTGAAATAATATTTAGTGGCTTAGATCGGTAAACATTTTTCTAGGTCCTACGCTGTTAGTATCTATTCTCAGGATATGAACCGAATCTCAATTGTTACCACAAATAATAAAAATTTCATTCACATACCTGTTTTATGGTTCATAATATTATTATATCACTTTATTTCAAACAGGAGTTTTCCAGACTAGCTGTAAGGCTGTGTGATGATACTTTTTCGTAGGGAAGTTCCTGTGGCCATTTTATCTCACTATTTATGGGTCACGTCATTAGATTTAGATTGAGTTTTGTAGTTTTTAGGGGAGAATCTCTCTAATCCGATTTCGTCTTATTCTTTAAAAAGACAATGAAACATATCCTTAAGCTAATTACTCATAATAATTAATTTGAAGCCAACTATTTATAAACCGTATTTAGTTATGATTATGTATGATAAGTTTTGCAATGACTACTTATCAAATATAG